GGCTTTTGTGCATGTAGGTAAGCAGTCTGCCTGCTGAGCTACACCCCAGGGAGAACAAAGGTAGCCCCTCCACCCCTGACTTGTTCATCACCCAAGTGGACAGGGGAAAAATAGCAAGCAGGGTCCACTGTGAGCTTTGCTGGACCAGTCAGATCTTGTGTTTGCCTTTGGACAGTCAAATCCCAGGAATTAATAGTGAGCCTGGGTCATCCTCCCCAAAGGAAGTCTAGCTACTGATAGAAAGACTGCATGCTTTGAGGGCGGTGGGGTAGAAATAAGTATCCCTGTGTATCCTTTTGTGGCCTTCCCTGTGCCAGCCTACATCATCTGGAGGATGGTTGGATGGCCCTGAACTGAAATGGATACTTGTCATTCAAGAAGACCCACAGATATATTCCCTGTTCAGAGAAGTCTGTTAAGATGCAAAGACCCAATCACTGTACAGGCTAATCCAGGAGCTTCCAGAGCAAGTCCCAGTCTGGCTGCAAGCTAACTAATTAATCAAATACAAGTCCCTCAGAATCTCTACTAATCCTATGATTTTATTCACTTATCGTTCATTGAGACAGGGACTTACTATGTAGCTCTTGGCTTGGAACTACTATGTAGTACTGTGGCTAGGAACAAGCTGTATAGACCAGCTGGCCTGGAACTCAGAGATCTTCCTGGCTCTGACTCCCAAACGCTGGGACTAAAGGTGTGCTTGACCATATACAATCCTGTGATCTTGTACCTGGAACTCAGCACCTCCTCTGCTGGGCCTTAGTCTCCTTATCTACAGTGGAGCCACTAAGTACCTCCTTCTGGAAATGAAATGAGGCCATGGGAGTCACAAGCTGCACTCAGAGTCTAGCACATAACAAAGGCTGTATAAGCCAGCAGCCCCGGCAAGCAAGCAATATGACAAACTGAAGCCCAGATGCTGGCAGTGTTGAAGCTTCAGGATTGACAACTTGGCGGTTCAAAGTCTGGGGTTGGAGCCCTGTTTCTGAGTCTACTCAGCCCAAGTGTAGACTAGAACAACAGCTTTTGCTTCCTTTTCTGACTCATCCCTGGGATTCATCTGTAAATGTTGCCAGATGAAGTATCCTGTGCACCCATGAAGGGCTGGTCTGTGCAGGTGTCCCTCTCCTTCCTGTTTACTCAGACAGATCTGGGAGTTTCAGAAGCAAATCACCCTCTAGCCATAGCAGCAGATGTCTACGCAGTTCTGCTGTGAGAAATGACAGTCACAGGCATCTGGATTGAGTCTCATTTAGCCACTATTCCCAAAACAGCTGCTGAGTTTAAAGGACAGAGCCTGGACTCCCAGAGCGTGGCCCTGCCCAAGATGGCCAGGAGGAGATGCACAGGTACCTGACAAGCTCCCTCCACTCCTTTCTTTCAGATCTTGTCCACATCAAAGTTTTCCTTTTGGCATTTTAGGCAGGTCTTGATTGGGTGAGGAAAATTCAGACCCATGATGCTGTTTAGGGTAGTTTAAGAGGACAACCCTGAATCCTTTTTCTTACCCAAGACACCAAAGGGAGAACTTTCCTTTGCAGATGGGGCCATATGACAAGACCTCTCCACATCTCCCTTTCAGAGTGAGTGGGTGAGCAGGGCCTCAGGCAGCTGGAGGGGCTTGTGTGGTGATGTGTGGTGGGGAAGTAACAGTGTGATTTGGATGATTCCAGGATGGGGGCCAGGAGAGGAACATGAAGAGGCAGTTTGCAAACAGAGCGGTACACATGAGTTACAACCACCAGACATGGCCACTGAAACACTCACAGCTGTTTCCCCCAAATCCACCATTGCCCACACTTGTAAACCTGAGAGCAGCTCTGAGAGCCAGCCAGACTTCCTAGGAGCCCTCTGGATGAAGTCTGGGGCCCAAGAGATGGATTTCAGAAAAGACCTGGCGCTTCTTCACATGGATGCCCTCAAAGACCAGCCTGACCATGAGTCTGAGGTCTCAGGGAACAGTTCCAACGTGTGGGCCAACTTCCCTTCCCAAGACAAGGCCTCTTCAGCAGAGAAATTTGACCCATCGTACAATTATGGGACAGTGCCTTCAGATGTATACTCGGGAAAGAAACTCCCCAAGTACGGTGAACGTATGAGAACATTCCAGAATGCTTCAGCCCTGGAAGCCCACCAAAAGAGCCCCTCTCAGAAGATGCCCTATGCCTGTATTGAGTGTGGGAAGGCCTTCAGCCGCAGCACCCACCTTGCCCAACACCAGGTTGTCCACACAGGAGCGAAGCCCCACGCATGTAAAGAGTGTGGGAAAGCCTTCAGACGAGCCACCCACCTGACGCAGCACCAGCGCATCCACACAGGGGAGAAGCCCTATAAGTGTGACGAGTGTGGCAAAACCTTCAGCCGCAGCACCCACCTCACCCAACACCAGCGGGTCCACACGGGGGAGCGGCCTTATGAGTGTGACATGTGCGGCAAGGCCTTCAGCCAGAGCACCCACCTGACGCAGCACCAGCGCATCCACACCGGGGAGAAGCCCTACAGGTGTGAGGTGTGTGGGAGAGCCTTCAGTGACTGCTCAGCTCTGGTCCGCCACCTGAGGATCCACTCTGGAGAGAAGCCCTACCAGTGCAAGGAGTGCCCAAAGGCCTTTGCACAAAGCTCCTCCCTCATTGAGCACCAGCGCACTCACACGGGAGAGAAGCCTTACAAATGCAGTGACTGTGGGAAAGCCTTCAGCCGTAGCTCAGCTCTCATGGTACACCTGAAGATCCATATCACTGTGCTTCAGTGACCGGAAGCACCACAGCACAGCCTCCCCCAGAGGTTCGGCGTCTACGAAACCCTGAATTCCACAGGATCCCCACTGGTGGATAACTGTGGCACCCAGTGTCTAAGGGCAGACTGGGAACACCTCTACATGAGAGATCCCAGGTGAAGTCCCCTAATGAACACACAGATTCAGACCAACTGGGGAAGCTTCTAGAAGCTTCCTACTGCCCTCTCTATCCCACTCAGGCTGGTCCCAGAGAAAAGTAACCAGAGCAAGTAAAGCTGGCTCAGGTGACCCAAGATCCTGTAGGTAGGAAGACCCAAGCTTCATGCTTTCTCGTGGCTGCTGTTTGCCGGTTCCTGTACTGCTCAGCTTGGAAAGGGTGCCTGCCAGGCCCGCTCTGTGCCTTCCTACCTGCTTCCCCACCACATTTATATATGCCTAACTCCAAGACAGACTTGTGAGGCCGCCTCTCCCGTGAAGCCCTCTCCATGGCATCCTGCTCATGTTTGTCCTGTTTTCATCCACAGTGGTGCTGGATGCTTGCCCGACACCGTCTTGTTCTCCCCCACCTTCCTTCCACATCCCACAGACGCCAGCCCTGTGGGTTCACCTCAGGCTCATCTCTAGCCCAGCCCTCCTGCAGCCTCGCCTTCTGTGAGCTGCCATTGCCTCCCACTGGATGTTTACCAGGGCTCTCCTTTCTCGCCCCTTCCCGTCTTCATTCCATCCCCACCCACTTCTTCCTGCTGCAGCTCTCCTTGCTACCCGTGGCAGACAGCTGTCCAGTGAGTCACCTTTGCAGCAAACTCCGTCGAGCGAGGCACAGGTGTGCCAGGATACATGTCGCTTCGGCCCAAGCAGTTGCTCTAGTCGTCCTCAAATGTGTGTACGAATGTTTGTCTCTGTCTGTTACACAGTGATGTCAACGTGCTTTCAAAGTGCCGCTCTGCAAACTGCACCCCTGGCCTCGTGTGTGTTTGCTGCAGCCCTGGCCCCCTCTTGCAGCCTCACTTCCCACCTCTGTCCCTGATGCCCTCTCTCCTGTGTGACATCTCAGATGTCCTTGAGGGCTGCCCCAGCCATTCTGACCTGACGTCATCGTGCCTGACACTCTCTTGCTGCTGTGGTACCACACTCATAACTGTCTGAAACCTCTCGCCGTGCCATCGAACCTGCACCTCTGATAGAATGCACAGGCCAGGGCTGTGACCACGGTGCACAAGATGCACAGGCCCCTCCCAGTGTGTCCAGGATGAGAGTGACCAGTACCTCCCTTGGGTAGTTACTGTCCTCCACCCATGTTTTCTTCATCAAGACATTTATGGAAGAGCCCCTGTGCCCACATAAGCATGGCCGCAGTACTCAAAAGAAAGAAAGCGCGGCTACACTTGAGTCTCGTTGCCTTGGGTCCTCGAGCATGGGGTGCCACAGACTTAGGGGATGCCAGCACTCTGCCAATCCTAAAATCATAACCTGTTTACTCTGCCTACCCTCATTTCCCCAGAAAAACCATCCCTGGCTCTTGTACCTCCTGACTAACATGGGTGACTTCACAAAGTCCTCAGTCGTGGAGCTACATGAGCTACTGTTTCTAGATCCATTAGCATAATACATTTTTGCTTCCCTGAGCCTCCCACGTCTCTTGTGGCTCAGCTGATTGACTCACATAAAAGAACACAGACCACCAGGAGAGCTGCAGACTGGAGAATTTCATTAAAAGCACTGGAAGTGCTTCCACATGGGCGGAGGCTACATTCAGGTTGGGCTGCTCCAACATCCGAATTTGTTTCTGTGTTGCCAGAGGAGGTGTGGTCCAGGCAAAGAAAACACTTGCAGGCCCAGACACGGGGCTACTCCACAAGTGGTTAGAGAGAAGGTATTTAGGTAGGACTGAGAACCTACCCCCCCCCCAGTTTGCAGGGTTGGGGGTCCCTGAGTATGTGTTATAGAGCTGTGCCCTGCGGTAGAAGCAATGTGTGGATACAGAGTTAACACACACACACAGGGCTTCTCTTCACAAGATGGTCTGTGATACTGAAAAAGGCAACTCAGGGGAGACAGGCTGGCACCCACCCACTGGGCTCTGACCTCTAGAACACAAAGCTGTCAAGTCTTTAGACCCAAGCTCTCAGACCCAAGGGCCAAGAGCTGTAACACAGGCTGCTGTGGAGGGTTAAGAAATCCCAATACCTAAGATTGCCCGTTACCCACGATGCCAGTTGCCACTGAGAGCTGAGGAATCCAGGCCAACACAAGAGTTCTAACCCTAGTAAGGCAGAGGCGGGAGATACTCAAGGCCTTCACTAGGATTATGACACTAGGGGGCGCCTGTCTGCTGCTGTTCTCACGCAGGGTTTGAGCTGGCGGGAGGCCAGCGCCAAGGGAAACAAATGTTACCAAAACCAGCACATGAGCCGTGTCCACTAGCCTACGCATCTGGGTAAAGCAGGAGCACCACACATAGCTGACAGTTAACACGCAAGTGCCTAGTCCAAGGCAGCCCCACCTTACCCCAGCTGACAGTTCCCGAGCTCAAGCCTAGGTTGTCTGTCCTACAGCATACCCGCAGTGAGGACTATGTAGACATGGGTGTCTTTTGTGCAGGCGTGAGTTCTTTCTGTACCTAAGTGCCTCTTCATGGTCCCTCCGTGGGCACTTGGAACTACAGTGTCAGACCCTGTCCTTATAGGGAAGTGCGGGCAAGAAACAAAAGACATTTAGGAAAGAAAATTCTTGAAGGACATCTACCTGAGAGCCGCACTAGAAAGAACTTGCAGGGAGGGAGATAAGGGGTTCCTGCGGCCTTTTTAAGATGAGGGCATTGCAGTTGAGTCTGAAGCAGACAGGAAATGTCTTAAGGCGACAGGGAAGGGAGACAGCAAGGTCCCCGACCTTGGCCACCAGGAAGAAGTGTGCTCGGCTTTAAGGACCTTAGATGGCCACGGCCGGTGACAGGCCCCGCACCTCCCTTCATGAGCTTCAACTCCCAGCCACAGCAGAGTCCAGGAAGCCAGCGGATCTGTACAGAACTAAATGTCGAGAGCAACCGCAGATCAAGACCTGGAGCGAAGGGTTCGGGCCGGAAGTATTTCGCGCCTCCACCCTAATCCCACGCTTGGGGAGGGGATGGCGGCCCCATTAAAGGCTGGAAGGTTCCCGTTTTGAATGCCAGAGCCGCAGGACTAGACAGAATGCTAAGTACTCATTGACTGCTGCCAACACGGGACCGCACAGGTAGTAGATGACCTTCTCCCCTCCGGCCCTGGGACCTTAGCAAAAGGAGTGGGCAGCGCAAGGCCTGGTGGGAAATGTAGTCCCGTGGAATCCCTTACTGTCTGCTGATTGTGGGAGATGGGGCTGTATGCTTTGCAACAGGATCAGGAGATTCCCCCGCCCGCCCCCCATAAGTGGAAGGTTAGCCTGCGTTGTCAGGAGATCGTGACTGCAGAAACGGCCTACCAGTCCCCTGCCAGGCTCAGGTAAAAATTAGAGGACTATTGGAAAATAGTAAAATATGCCAGTGAGCAGACGCCCTCCACACTGGTGAAATCTGGATCTCTGAAAGTAGAGCCGACTGAGTATCAAAGTTCGCCGGATAACTGTAAGTGCAGCCAGTGTGAGAAAGAACCAAAGCCCACAAGATAGCGTGAACCCTGTTTGTCCTGATCCTGTATAAAAATGACCTGGTTGAGCCAGATGCCTTTTGTCAGTTCTCACAAAAGCCCGCCCATCCTTTGATCTCTGCCTTCATCAGATTTTGTCATTTTGAGACTAGATCTCATTACAAATCTTAACACAATTATGCAATATGTTGAATATCCTTGAAAGAGGTTGAGGAGTGGAGTAAATTCTTCCCTAGGTCATGCCAGGTCCATAAAAAAGAACCAAACCTAGGTACCAGCAGAGCTGTGGGAGACACAGTGCAGGGGGAAGGTTAGGCCAGGTAAGGTAGGAGACTCCATTCTTTGGCTGAGTGTCTGACAGTTACTGCATCTCTCTACTATGTCTCTGTCATAAAGTTGTCCCGGAGAGAAAATGATCTGATTCTTAGACTCCTGATGTCTATGTAGTCTGCAAGTTTACTGCAGGATGAGTCCAGCTAGGAAGGGGCCAGTGAATGAGGGGGCTGGCAATCCAGATTGGCACCACAAAGCTGTCAGGAGTCTCTCCGAGGTGAGAAGGAAGAAAAGGCCAACAAGGACAGAGGTATTTTAGTTTGCTGTGAATGGCGGCTTAGAACAACAGCAATTTATTCTTTCAGAAGTTCAAAACTCAAGGTACTGTATGGTCTGTGCTCCATGGAGGCTGTAGGAAAGGATATTTGTCATACCGTTTCCAACTTCTCCTGGCTGGTGGCACAGGCCTTTAAATCCCAGCACTCAGGAGGCAGACAAAGGAGGCTAGCCTGGTCTTCACAGTGAGCTCCAGGACAGTCAAAGTTACATAGGAGACCCTGTCAGCAAAAACAAGCATACAAACAACAAACAACCCCACAACTTCTGGTGGTCCTTAGTATTTCTTGCCTTGTGTCTGCACCACTCCAATCTCTGCTTCTTTTTTTTTTTTTTTTTTTTTTTTTTTTTTTTATCTTTAGAGACAGGGTTTCTCTGTGGCTTTGGAGGCCGTCCAGGATCTTGCTCAGTAAACTAGGTTGGTCTCAAACTCCCAGAGATCTGCCTGTCTCTGCCTCCATACTGCTGGCATTAAAGGCTTGCACCACCCACCACTGCCCAGCAAGGAAAAAAAAAAAAAAAAAAATAGCGGTGCTTTAATCCAACTTTTGAGAGGCAAAGGCATGCAGATTTGACTTCAAAGCCAGTCTGGTCTACACAGAATTTTTAAGCTAGCCACAGATACATAATGAGACTTTGTCTCAAAATATTAATGATAATTCTAGCCGCTTTGGCTGTTTTGAACTAGAACCTCATGTGGCTCAAACGCCTTAAACTCATTTCGGAGTGGAGGGTTGTAGCCCTGAACCCCCTGCTCTCCTGCTTCTACTTCCCAAACAATGGGGTGGGGTGTGTACCACCACACCTGGCTTGAGCAAAGTGAATTTTACATGTGCAAATCAATTAAAGTATTTCTCTCAACCTATGGGCTATGCACAGGAGCTCCTCATCTACCCCCTGCTACCTAGTAGGTAATTCTCATGAGGCCCATAAAAATAACCATAATCAACCACTGTGGTGCAGCGACAGTTTTCAAAGTACAGTGACACTTGGTCACCCCCCTGGCCCAACAACCTCTTGCTGGGCTCAGCCTTAGAATCTGAAACTCAGAGACTGGCTCATTAGGTAGACTCCTGACATATCCTCCCCCCTTCCCTCCCTCCCAACGCGTAAAGTGTGAACTGAAATCAGAATGAAACCTTATGCCACCATACCCGCTCGCAGACCTGATCTGTTCATAGAGACGCTTTTAGGAGTAGCTGGGGAAGAGGCGGATAACTTATGTCTGTATGGTGTCTATTCCCCATTCTGTCCTTATGCCATAAATGCAGAGGTCAGCCTAGTAAACACACACACACAGACACATTCTCTCAGGAGCCTGGTCCTGGTGGCCCACGCCTTTAATGCCAGCACTCGGGGGTCAGAGGCCCGGTAGATCTCCGTGAGTTCGGGGCTACCCTGTCTCGAGAAAGCGAAAGCATTGAAAAGCACCCTTAGGGAGTGAGTCTGCAGGCAACGAGAGCCCGTTCTAAGCACAAGTCGCTGGGAACCCAGACAAAAGCCCCGCCACCCTCCGAGCCGGTCACACAGCTCCAGGTTGGCGGTCGGAGTGTCGTGTAGCGGCCGGGACAAGAAAAGCCAGCGTGATTAAGCCGGAAGTGGTCCCGTCTGGGAGCCGGGAACACGCAGAGCACGACTGGCCCGGAGGGTGAAGGGTGGGGCCGGTGCTTGTGAGCCCGGATCAGCGGCGATCGATCACCCGACCCGACCCACTATCTTGGCGAGAAACACTGAGCCGAGCTGGCTGCCTCCGCCGGGAGCCCACGGTCCACGGCGCTCTAGTTTTGCAGCCCTGTCTGCCGTGAGCTTGGAATGGACGTCTGCCCTTTCCAGATATGGCGGAGTAGGTTTCGCGGACGCTTTTGCGCATGTGCGCCGACTCCCACGCCTGGCGAGTACTTCGGACATCCGCCAGAAGACGGCTGTGGCGCTGTTTCCCAAAGTGCACATGCTCCGTACGGGCCAAAGGTCGCCTCTCCTGCCAACCCCCGATTGGTCCGTGAGCCCGTTTGTTCCTCTGCGCCTGCGTCCCTGCCTGTGACCCGGAAGTTTTCGCTTCGCTTAAAAGCGCCGGCCCGCTGCGCGCGGCCTCTTCCTGTCTGTGCCAGGGCGGCGCGTGGTCCACGCCGAGCGGCCGAGGAGTGCGGTCTGCACGGTCAGGTGAGGCTGCGGAGGGGCCCGGAGGCCCTAGGGGCCCGCTCCGCGCGTTCCGGGGGACATCTGGGGGCTCGGGGGCGGCACCCGAGGCCCGGGCCTCCCCGCCCGGACTTCACCCCTTCCCCCCGGGAAAGGGTGTCCGGGGAGCTCGAGCGGGCCCGGTTACTCTTCGCCGCCTCTTTGCACCGCGTTGACTCCGTACTTTTAACACTCGACACCCTAGGGCGATCGCTCGCGCTGTAGTCTTATGTCGCGGCCGGAAACGTAGTTTCCCGGTGGTCATTTTGCTCACTGCACATTTTCTTCTCGACAACAGCCCCTAAACTTCTCCCAGAGTCAGATAAGGACGGAAGGGAACATTTGTGTCGATTATTTCTCTGGATTCACACTGTAGTCCTTTCTCTCACGTTCTACCGACGGAACGTTGAAAGCAGTTCATTGCTTTTGCCAGGGTGGGAGTTTTTTAAGTGCACAGTGAAAGTTGGATACGGGATAGGTGCATATGGTTGTCTGCCTGGGCACATGAGCCATCACTACGGGATCCCGTGTACCAGGTGCTTAGCTTGGTGGTTGTCAGGACTCAGACCTTGGATTCCTGAGTGAAGAGCAGGTTCTCCCTACAGCTCAGTGGTTTTTCCTAGGTTTGAAGGTTTGTTCAAAGCTTCCCGGGTCCCCAGTTTTCCACAAAGTGGGAGTTGCTTAGTCTAAAGAGTTTGTGTGATTGCTCTAGGGCAGCTGGGCGATAACGGTTTCTTCTCATTACCCTGTCTCCAGAATGACTGAGTGGGAGACAGCCACACCGGCGGTGGCAGAGACCCCAGACATCAAACTCTTTGGGAAATGGAGTACTGATGATGTACAGATCAATGATATTTCTCTACAGGTAAGAGGGACTTGGTGGTGGTCTTCTTGGCTTTTGATTGGGAGCAGGGGTGGATTCTTCCAGTTCAGAAAGGGACACATGACACCTAACTTTCAATTAGTCTATGTTTATGACCATGTAGCAGAGCAATAACTGGGCAGCCACATCCATGCCTTATTATAACCTATACCAAAACTTGTAACTGTTATAATTTTTTTTTTCTTAAATCCATTGTCTTTTGAGACAGAGTGTCTGCTATGTAGCCCTGCCTGGCTTGGAACTCAGATCCTCCTGCCTATGTTCCCCAAGTGCTGGGATTAAAGGCATCTGGTTTGGTATCATTTTACATTCATGTTTAGTTAGCAGGTGTCTTCTTTTGAGGAGAGCACTTTAATCAACTGAACAGTATTGGCTGGCGCCCTTGTCACAGTCAGTTGGTGAGCTGGACACAGTGGTGCATGCCTGTTAGAGCTACACAATGAGGTCCCCCCATTGCCTCGCTCCCCAAAATTGTCTGTTGGCTATGAGTTTGTGGGTGCTTTTTTAATGGCTGTGAGTGGTTGTGATACTTCTGCCTAAGTGCTGGGATTAAAGGCATATATCATACCCGGTTTTACACACTGCTAGAGACTGGACCCAGTGTTTTTGTACATACAAGGCAAGCACCCTACTTGTACATTTAACCCTTGGAATCTCTGACAGCTGAAATTGTCCTCTGACTTACACAAATACATTAACATAGAAAGAAGAGGACCTGTGCATTATATCCAAAGTATATTTAGGCTTGTCTGGCAGGTCTTTAGTTTTTGGGTTAGTTTGGGGAGGTAAACAGTAAGGTTGTAAATGCATTTTCTCACGCTGACTCACAATCCCCGCCTGCCCCCTTTTTTTTGTATGACTTTGAGAAAGACAGATTTGCTATATACCCATAACCTGGAATTCACAATGTAGCAAGTGCCATTGGTCTGCACAGGACAGCCCTCCTCTTGCTGATTGTTCGCTCCAAAGTATAAGCCCAGCACTCAGGAGGATCTCTGAGTTTGAAACCAGCCTAGACTGTACAGAGAATTTCAGGGCTACATAGACTGTCAAAAAATTTTATTGAGGAGCTTTCTTTTGGATAAAATGTCCATAAATGATTTCTGTGTTTTGTCTGCATGTGTGTCAGCCAGAGCTGCTGGAGTTACCATTGTGACCTGCTCTGTGTGAAATGGGAATTGAACTTGGATCCTTTATTCAAGGGTATATTCCCCTCCCCTCTTTTTGAAGCAAGGTCTCACAGTGTTGCCCTGCTGTCCTGAAACTATGTAGAGCAGGCTGGTTTTGAACTGTCTCCTAAGCATGTGTGAGACTTAACCAGACACTTGTTCAGCTCTGTTTCTCAAGGCTCACATTAAGAACCTGCTGGGGATGTGCCATGCCTACATCAGTTCTCAGTCTCTTATGATGCCCACTTGAGGGCTGGTCCCACCCCTCACTGCCCCTCCACCCTCACTTTGCCTCCCAGGATTACATTGCCGTGAAGGAGAAGTATGCCAAGTACCTGCCCCACAGTGCTGGGCGGTATGCTGCCAAGCGCTTCCGCAAAGCCCAGTGCCCCATTGTGGAGCGCCTCACCAACTCCATGATGATGCACGGCCGCAACAACGGCAAGAAGCTTATGACTGTGCGAATCGTCAAGCATGCCTTTGAGATCATCCACCTGCTCACTGGTGAGGTAAGCTTCACGATGGCACTCCCGCCAGAGTCATCACCTGTCACACTGCCACCTTGTTTGGGGGAAGCTGGGGGTGGATGTCAGGCTCATGGCCCTCCTTCCTTTCTGCTAGAACCCTCTGCAGGTCCTGGTCAATGCCATCATCAACAGTGGCCCCCGGGAAGACTCAACACGCATTGGGCGAGCTGGAACAGTGAGGCGACAGGCTGTGGATGTGTCCCCACTGCGCCGAGTGAATCAGGTGTGTCAGGCTTGTGAAGGACTAGGACAGGAAACACCAGCACCAGTGGGTGGAGTTGTGTCTTGCATGTTTTGCCCAGAGCCTCACTTCCTCCAGGAAACCTTCCTGGGTTTCCACCCTGTATGGGTCAGGTGGGACCCCGGCCTTTCTAGGTCTGGTTCATCTCATTCCTAGTGTGTAGTTTTACAGCAGTTTGGGGTTTTTTAACCTTGATCCCTTTATGAGCCTGTGGCACATAACCTATAGTTTTAGCTACTTGAGAGACACAGGATGGATTGCTGGTTGCCTGCGCACCATAAAGTGAAGGGCATCTCCCACTTTGCTGGCAGTTCTTAAGTCTCTTGTTAGTAGGGAGCCATGTCTTCTTAGCCCTCTGTCTGGTAGGATGTCTGACAGGAAGTCCACCCCCTTGTATCTCATCTCTGGGTGACGGCGTGTAGTGAAAGGCTGATATCTCTAAAGGTGGGTCCCAGGTCCCTGGGAGGACGGGGACCCTTACGTGGCCTGAGCCCTGCCTGTCTTGTCTAGGCCATCTGGCTGCTGTGCACAGGAGCTCGTGAGGCTGCTTTCAGGAACATCAAGACCATTGCTGAGTGCCTTGCAGATGAGCTCATTAATGCTGCCAAGGTGGGTTAGGGCCCATGGGGTGGCTTGGGCATGTGGGGGCTGATCCAGCATTCGGCGCTAACCACCTGTCCTTGCAGGGCTCCTCCAACTCCTATGCCATCAAGAAGAAGGACGAACTGGAGCGTGTGGCCAAGTCTAACCGCTGATTTCCCACCTGCTGCCTAATAAACTGTGTGCCCTTTGGGACAGTTCCACCTGCCTGTGTGCTTGTCTGTCATTGAGGGAGTGGGGTGTCTTCCCATGGCTGTAGGGGATGCTCACCTTCCTGGCATGATGGTGTTTCCCCCTGACAAGCACCACTCAGGACTACTGCTAGTCACAAGGTGTAAGCCCAGTGCCCAGGAGTGACCCAGCAAGTACTGGGGAGGGGGAGGGGCCATGGGTTGCTCCTACCCTGGGTCTGACACAATGCTCTGATGTGGGACAGGGCTGGGATGCTCAAGATGCAGGCAACCTCAAGGTGGTGGTTCAAATAAATAAGCCTGTGTTGGGTCTGCCTGGTAAAGATATGGTGGGTCATTTTACTCCCTTACCATCACTTACAGACTAAACATGTCTCAGGGAACTCAGTAGCACAGACTTTGTAGAGTGGTCCATGGTCCTTGTACCATGAACTTCCAGCCACCCCTGTATCCAATAGACATCAGATTTGGTGTTCATCCTAGTGGGAGGGGCCTAGGGGTGGGGTAAGCAGCCAGACGGGTTTGACAGGTACATGGGAACCTGGAGTGGGCTGTCCCAAGGTCAGGTGTCCTCCAGGGAGGGGCACTTGACAACCTAGTAACAGACAAGCCAGAAATTGGGGTCAGAACAGGAGGAGCACACGGGATACTCCACAGGGACAGGTAAGGTGTCCTGTAGACTGGCTACTCCTTTCTATCCGGTGTTGGGTCTCGTACCCTGGGTTTCCTTTGTTTCTTGGCTATTAGATGCCTCCTACTGCTCTGGGATTGGTTGGTGGTCCAGGTTCTAGTGAACACTACTCGAGAAGTTAGCCTTAATGTTGTGACCCTTTAGTACAGTTCCTCGTGTAATGGTGACTCCCAACTATAAAATTATTTTAGTTGCTACTGTTATGACTAAATTTCTGTTAACCCTGTGGTCTTTGACTACCCTTGTTAATGGGATGCGACCCACAGTTTGAGAATCACTACCCTGGAGTCTTAATGTTGCCTCTCGTTCCCTGCGGGGTTCTTCGCTTGGTATTGTGTTCCCCCTCTTGTATCTCCCCAAAGGAGGTAGGCCCTCCAAATCTTTAAAGCTGCTTCAGTCTGTTACCGTTTGTTCCTAGACTTGAGGACAGTGAGTCCAACCAAGGACTCCTCTCTACCTCCTTGAACCTACTCTCCATAACTTTATTTTTCCTGCTCCTCTCTGGAATCTCATCAACCGGCCACAGCCTCCAGATCCCTAGCTGAGCTCTTCCCCCCCATAGGTACAATCTGGATGCCGTGTCCTCGGCCGCCCTGGCTCCGCCGCCACCGAGCCTCCCACAGCTCGAGCCCCGGGTCCCCAGGTGCCCTCTCTGCACCCAGGTCCCCTAGCAGAGGTGAAGACGAGGACGCAGAAGAGGAGGAGGGCGATGGCACCCCTGGTGATAGCCCCATCCTGCCCCCTGCGTCTCCCATGGAGTGCCTTATCTGTGTGTCACCCTTCGACGGCGTTTTCAAGCTGCCAAAACGCCTGGACTGCGGCCACGTCTTCTGTCTCGAGTGCCTGGCACGCCTGTCGCTGGCTACAGCGGGTGGGGGCGACGCGGTGGCTTGCCCTATGTGTCGTGCGCCCACACGCTTGGCCCCGCGCCGGGGGCTTCCCGCTCTACCCACGCAGCCAGGTCTGCTGCCTCGCGACGCGCGCGCGCCACCACCACGCCAGGGCTCCGTGCGCTTCGATCGCCGCCGAGGGCTCCTGTACCTGCGGCCGCCGCCGCCGTCTCCTGGGCCACGCAAGAGTCGCACGGTGCGTGCCCCGCCGCCTCCACCCCCGCTGCGCCTCGGCCGCCCGCTGTCTCGTCGCCTATCCCTGAGCAGCCCCACATGGGCCTTCAACGCGGCAGTGGCGCTGGCCGTGCTGGTGGCTGCAGGCCTTGTTGTCTCTGGTGTCTACATCTTCTTCCTCATCCCTCATGTCACCACCTCCGGCCTTGCGCGACCTCAGGTCGTAGCTCTGGCTCCTGATCCCAGCTTCTGGCAAACGCTGCAGCCCACACCAGTGTCAACCTGGACACAGCGCCCGACAAAGCCTGACCTGGACCCGGATGATACCCTGCCAGAGACCACCAAGGACACACCAGAGCTTGAGGAGCCTGCCGAGGAGGCCGCCGAGGATGCAGCAGAGACCCTGGACACACCACCCGGTCAAACACCGAAGGCAGAGACTGACCTTGGGTGGAACCTGCAGGTACAAGATAGTGGGGAAAGGGTGTGACAGGAGCAATAAATGCTTGAGTTCTACAGCCCTGTCTCCCAACCTGGAGATGCCCATGTCATCCTGGAGGGCATTAACAGAGTGCATTTCTCCAGCTTGGGCACTGGAACGGGACAAAGTCTCTCACTATAGTCATTCTACAAGATTCCTCTGAAAATGTCTATGATTCCCATGGCCATCTAGCTGAAGGTCCCCTGGTCCTAGTGACAATTACTTCCGAACCACATTATCTACGTAGGTCTAGTTGGGGTACCTACCCCTGATTCTCATCTCTGTGGAAACCCAGCTGGCCCCTCCTCCAATGGCGCCAATACAGGACTTTGTCGGGGCACTTTAGCCTTGATCTTGACGGGATGCTGTTGGAAGCACTTCAGATCATCACACCACAGCCCGCCGAGGGAGACATTCCCGGTCAGCTCTGGGGATGAAGGATCTGGTTCACTCATTCACTGGACTCACCACAGTGAAGCTGGGGCCCCCATCTTTGGAGTATAAAATTGTTACTATTCCAATTGTGCGTCCTGCTGCCGGCAGGGCAGCCTGGCTATGGCCGGGGAGGGCCCTGACTTCTGAAAATTCCTTCCCGTTTGGGAAGTAAATCCCAAACTGCTCGGGGAGTCTCAATGTCTCCTCTAGAACTTGGATTCTGAGACCTATTCAATACCATGTGGAATATATGTGGTCATCACACCCTGGAGAGTCAAGGCCTCCCTGGGGCTCAGACAGAAACATTCAATAGCAGAAGATCCTGGCCCTCCCTAGCTAATGAGAGATGCTGGTCCTGTCTCCACTTGAACCCCACTATCCCCATGTTTCCCCTTCTCCAGAGCTCCAGCAACTCTGCCCAGCATAGATGCCCCAGTCAAAGTTGAAGCCTTTCCAGTGTCCACCTCTATGGAAGCTGGCTCTTGTCTTCCTTCCAAAAACCTTGGCTCACACACACAGTAGGATGAAGACAGTTATTCTCTACATAGGTTGACCACAGATGTCTGAAACCCCTCACCTGGTATGAGATGGCATGTGTTAAAGATGGGCAGCATTTTCCAGAATGAAATGTGACTTCTATGTACCTGGAGGCTTCTGTGTGGTTTGTTTGCATGTGTGTCCTGAGCACTAGGCATCAGTGGATACAGGATTGTTGCTGGTGAGTGACAGCATCAGGGATGCCCGAGAGGCAGCCTGGGAATGCCCATGGGCACTCCAGGCTTGCAAGCTCCCAGCTGCCGGGGGCACTGACATGCCTGTGCGAGCAACTCAGCTGCTGCTTCCAGGTTGGAAGCCAGAGGAAGAACATCAGGGAACCCAAGGGTGTGTCTTCCCAGACCAGTTCTTGGCTCATACCCGAGTACCAACATCACCCACAGGGGCTGGAATCAATGCACTTGGTCACTGGGAACCACTGCCCAGCTTCACAGGCTGGCCCATTGGGAGCAGAGTGGGTGTTCCAATTTAGTTTTCTCTGGCTACTGTAAAAACTTATTCCCAGTACCATGTCTTAGAACCACACACATTACCTCACAGTTCTGCAGTCCAGAAGCCTAAGGTCCTATCATGGGGCTAAAACTGAGGTGCCTAACTAAGTGTGGTGGCACAGAACTGTAATCCCAGCACCTGGGAGGTAGAGGCAGGGAACACCTATAGTTCAAGGCCACCCTTAGCTACATAGTTCGAGCAAGGCCAGCCTGCTTCTGTGAGATCTTGTCACAAAATAAAAATCAATAATCAATCAGCTTGGGGAGCCAACAGTCCTGGGTCCTTCTGAAGTCCCTGGGAAAATCTATTACCTTAGGTTTCCAGCAACTAAAACTGCCTTCCTTGGCTTGTGTTTTCCTCAAAGCCAGCAACACAACACCTCCAGTTTCCCTGACCCTCCTGCTATGTTCTTTCACTTATAAAAATAATGGGAGTGCCAGACAGTGGTCGCTCATGACTTTAGTCCCAGCACTCGGGAGGCAGAGGCAGGTGGATCTCTGTGAGTTCGAGGCCAGCCTGGTCTACAGAGTGAGTTCCAGTGTGTGTGTTGCTTGGGATTGAACCCAAGACTTCATGAATGCACTCCACCGCTGACCTACATATTCAATCATTTTTTAATTTTTATTTATTTTATCTTATTTATTATTTGGCTTTTCAAGACAGGGTTTCTCTGTGTAGGCTGGCTGCCCAGGAACTCATTCTGTAGACCTCAAACTCACGAGATCTGTCTGCCTCTGCCTCCTGAGTGCTGGGAATGTGTGTGCATTACCCTCAAACCTAAATTTTTTAAAAATATTTATTTACTTAGGTTTTTGAGACAGGGTTTCTCTGTGTAGCTTTTTTGGAGCCTGTCCTGGAACTCACTCTGTAGACCAGGCTGGCCTTGAACTCACAGAGATCCGCCTGCCTCTGCCTCCCGAGTGCTCGGATTAAAGGTGTGCGCCACCAGCTCTCAGCGTGCCCTTTGGCATCTTTTTAGCTTAGCAGAGGCAGCATCAGGACATCTTGGGAACAAGGGCAGAACTCAGGAGGCAGACTAGGGGAGTCTAAGCTGACGATTTACCATTCGGGCCACAGTGCCTTAAGGTTTTTTTGCCTTCCAAGCGCTGGAATAAAAGGCATTCACCACTATGCCTGCCAATGCCTCACCTGTTGGGATCATGTGAGGCCCCCAGCTCCCCAAACCTTCCCCGAGCCCTGTTGCCAGCTCTCTTCTCCTGAAGGCAGACGGAGCAGGGGGTGGGGGTGGGGGTGAGCACGACGATGAGGACAATCCACTACTCAACATATAAGAGACTCCATTCCACCAGGCTGTGCCATCCTTTCTCAAAGAGGGTCACAAAGATCTCCTGCCAATGTGCGATCCTTCTTGGAGTTAAGTCCAAGATAGGGCCTTGCTGAACCTTTAGGAATGCAACACTGGCGTTGCTACGGCGATGTGGAACACCACGGAGGGGCTAGGCATTAATTCCTCGCAATAATAATACAGGCTCGGTAACCCTGATGACCAACCAGGAACCTGAGAGCAGTCTTCCATGACGATCCATAGGGGCTTGATGGCTGGTCCCTGGATTTGGGGGCAGTCTGAGGTTTCCGGGTCCCAGAATAAACAGGTGAACAACCGTTTAAAAAAACCACTAAGTCTTCATGTGATTGTTCCCACCTTCTGGGGTCCACGTGGTGGAGGGCTGGTACGCGTGGAGTAGTTTACGTTTGAACATGGAGCAAATATTTATGAACACACTCTAACACATTTTGAGAAAATGGGACGGGACCATTCAAGCACAGTTAAAGCAGTTAAGAGCAGGTTGGTGAGATATTTGAATTTAAAACTTACACATCCTCCTGCCTCTGCCTCCCAAGTGCTGGCATTAAAGGCATGCACCACCAGACCTGACCCGATATTAGCTCGTTTTGTTTTGTTTTGTTGAGACAGGGTTTCTCTGTGTAGCCCTAGCCATCCTGGAACTCACTCTGTAGACCAGGCTGGCCTCAAACTCAGAGATCTGCCTGCCTCTGCCTCCCAAAGTGCTGGGATTAAAGGCGTGCGCCACTGCCATCCAGCAGTCCTACATTAGCTCTTAATGCCATCAAACTCACCATCTCCAAGCCGAGCAGCTTAGTGTCTAGCGTCTCACGCTGTGTGTGTTGGATCCCCTGCACCAGCTCCCACACAGCTCAGCTGGTGGTTCTAACTGGCTTCATGATGTCTCAAGTAAGCATTCCACGGGGGAACAACAGACATCTGAAGACTCAACAGCAGCCCAAGAATTCCAGCCCAAGCTGCCTGTTCCCATGACTATCAGCAGAAAGCCTCCGTTTCTTATATTGTCTATGCCACCGCTGGGACATGCCGCCCCTTTCCACCCCCCCCACCTCCCCACCCCCACCCCCCGCCGGCATCCTCCCAAACCAGTGAGCCAAGAGAAGAAGGCAAAAGCAAGCCAGGGGGCCTTTTGAACCCCATCACAAATTCATACTTGATCATCTTCCCAATATGTTTCTAAAGGTGTGGTACCTGCGCCAGGATCTATCTCAAAGCCTGGGTGACCCACTGCGACCTGCCACCTACATCACTGAATCAGCTGCTCACTTTAGTCAGCCAGGCCTTGTGTGCCACTTTCTAGTAAAGGGTTAACTTAGCAGGCCAGGGTTGCTCAAACCATGCACATTCCAGAGGGATATGGCCCTCCCTTCTCATGATTCCGGGAGATCATCTCTAAGCCTTGGAATATCCTTCCTGGTACATCCTGTGTACCTGGTAGTAGATGGTGGCACGGCTTATGGCATGAGCCTTAGGCTGCACTGTCAAATAGATCTCTAGCACAGTTGGGGACTAAGCTCATTACTAGCACAGCTGGGGACTAAGCTCATTAAGGGAGGAGGGGTCTACTATGTATGTATTTTTGTTACCGTTTTTCCAAGTAAAAACCCCCCAGATGTGACCAAGAATATGTACAGGCAACTGTGATGTAAACTTTTCCTGGGAAAAGAAAAAAATGTCTCTTCTCTCCAGATAGAGTACCCATGAGAGTCTAGAGAAATTATTCCAGAGCTTTCAAGATGTCTCAGCACATAAGGGAACTTGCTAGGAAGCCTGATGACCCACGTTCAATCCCTGGATACCACATTGTGGAAATTGTTTTTGTTTTGTTTTTTTCCAGGGAGCACCTTGAATTATTTATTTTCATTTTATGTGCACTGATGTTTTGCCTGCATGTATGTCTCTGTGAGGGTGACAGATCTTGGAGTTACAGTTGTTAGCTGCCATGTGGATGCTGGGAATTGAACCCATGACCTCTGGAAGAGCAGCCAGCACTCTTAACTACGGAGCCATCTCTCCAGCTCCACTTTATTTTGTTTTTAAGTGTGTGTGTGTGCGTGTGTGTTTGGGTGTATGTGTGTGTGTATAAGAGCACTGGCTGCTCTTCCAGAAGACTCGTTTGGTTCCCAGCACCCAAGTTTGGTGGCTTACAACTACCAGCTCTAGGGGATCCAACACCCTCTTCTGGCTTCCATAGGCACCC